TATAGCAGTTTCATTTTGCGTTCTCTATTCTGTTCAATGAAATCCAAGAAAAGACAGAGAAGGTGTTCTCCTCATTGTCAGCCTAGGTGCCAGCACACAGCTGGATAGTTAGATGTTCCAGTATAGGATAGGGTCAGACCAGCTCCGCTCATCCGAACCAGTGGAGCGCCACAATATGTACAGTACACTACAGTAACGTTAGCGTGTCTAACCTTCATAAAATATACTAACGTTAATGCTATGAAGCTCCATTATTTGGTTCACACATGAACACTCAATATTATAGCGTTTGTTAGTCAGACCCAGTATTATTAGCCATGTACCTTGCAGCAGCGATATGATCATGTCGCGCTCACAATGTAAACACAAACTGTAATGATAGCACGCCACCGTATTTATAATGTTGGTTATTTCAATGAGCGACCTTCTGTCTCAAAATACAATACAGTAACTATGTATTTGATGGTCTTTCAGGCCATATGGCTTATGAAATAAGGAAGAGGAACATCTCATTCCCCATAATTCCTAAAGCCAAAGAGGTGCACTTCAAGATGCTGAATGAATTCTAACCCTCTAAAGAATTCTTATGATTGAAATTTAACATGGATGATGTTTAACTTTTTAACTCTGAGGCAGAGACCACAGATCATTTGTTTTTCTATTGTGATGTTACATTTAACTTTTGGGCAAATTTAAATGGCTGGCTCAGGTCTAAAATGGACTTCTTAGCACCTTTTGCTTTAGAAAACATCACAATTGGTGTATCTCTGAAAGAAAAAGATGTTGAATTCTTGGTCAATAATTTTATCATTTTGGCAAAATATTATAGTCATAAATGTAAAAGGCGACCTTGTTCAGCTGTGTTTAGGTATGAAATATCTACACTTAAGAAATCCTTGGGTTGCATTAGTTGTAAAGGAGCCGGAAGTCTTCTATCTACAATCAGTCAATTTGATTTACTGTAATCCCCTGGTTTTATAAACTTTATTTTTTTTATTTTAATTAATTAATTTATGTTTGTTTTATTCAGATATTAATCTGTGTATGATTTGTTGCCCAGTCCCTTGTGGGTTCTGTAGACAGAACCGCCTCATACAGTATGTCTGTAAATATGATGTTCATAAAAAAAGTCGGCATGCCAGTCCTGATGTCATGTAGCAATTTTGATCAAAAATGAAAATTTGCAGGGCCTAACATTTTTTAAAAGAGAATTTTGAATTAGCCAACTAGCAGACAACACCACCCTGTCTCTTAAAAATGAATCACAAATTCCTTTGTCTCTTAACTTGATTGCTTTGTTCTCCAAAGCTTCAGTGTTAACTTTAAATGTTAACAAATGTGAATTAGTGGCGATATACAGTCATCCCTTAGCATCATTATATGATATCCCAGTTAGAAAAGAAATTAAATATCTAGGACTCAATATTAGTAAAAGCGAGGAATCTAGGGAAAAGTGCAACTTTGGAAAAAGTATTGACAAAGGTAAATCAATACCGAGCAGCTGCTTGTAGAGGGACCTGTCGTTGTTTGGGAGACTATTACTTACAAAGACAGAAAGTCTATATAGGCTTGTTTATCCAGCATACTCATTAGCATTTCATATAGAATGATAAAAATGATAAACCAAGATAACCTAAACTTTATTTGGAGAAATAAATGCCATTATATTATGAAAAACAACGTGAAAAAGGTATGACAATGGGGGACTGAAAGTTATTAACTTTGAATGGCATGATCAAGATAAAATGGTTGCAAGGCTTTATGAAGTAATGGGATTCGATTTGGCATGTGATTCCAAATGCAAATTTTAAAAAAATTGGGGGAATTAAAATTCTTTTAAGTTGTGATTATGAACTCAGTAAGTTGCCTTTGTGTTTATTTGAATTCCATCAACAAGTTCTCCAATATTGGAAACGGGTGTTCAAGCATAACTTTTCTCCACACAATATGCTGATCTGAAACAATCGCTGTATTTTATTTAAGAAAAAAAGAAATCACTATTTATGGAAAACTGGCTGTAAAAGGGGATTTGGTCTATTTCTCATCTAATGGATGGTAGAGGTAATTTATTGACCTTTTCTGGACTACCTATGAAATATAACTTATCTACATCAATAAA